GAAATCTGGGCTTTGATTCTTACATTTGTTCAGAAAATTGACACTGCTTTTTTTTTTTCCCCCAAAAATGTCATAACTCATGAAAATATTTTTATTGGGTGCTTAATTATTATAAATATATTTAAAATAGTATTGGGTGCTTAAATATATTTAAAGTAGTATTTGCTATCTCTTTTTAGTTATTACTCTTGCTTTCTTCTATGTAATGGTCCCCTCACTCCCTAAGTTTCTCTTGTTTTATGAGCTTTATATCATTAATGAAATGAGTGGTTGTTGTTGATTGACTTAGTAACGAAGCTTGAAAGCTTAAATCTCATTAATAATGTAAAATATTTACCTGAAATGCATAGTTTTTAAACCCCGCCCGGAAATTGACCCGGGCAGGTCTCCAGTTCACAGGGTCACCGGTTCAACCGTCGGGTCACCGGGTCAATTGCTGAACCGTTTAATTAAATTTTAAAATTTTTAAAATAATATATATAGTATTTTTGACATATAAATATACATAAAAGTAACAAAAATAAATATTTTGTATACCAAATTTGTACATTTAAGTATTAATAATATTGAATCTCACAATTAATATTTAGTATGTCATTATATAAACATAGTATTTATATTTTATACAAAAAACTATAAAAAAAAAATAAAAAAAATTTATAGAGACCGGGTCAACCGGTTTGGCCCGGCCGGGTCAAGGCCGAATTGGTTGAGTTTTGATTGTGTTTGACCGGGTTCATTGTTACCCGGTCCAAATAGCCCACTCGAACCAGTTTCGGCTCCAGGTCGACCCGTCGAGCCGGTCTGGGTCACAAAACAATGCTAAAATGTGATTTTGTTTACTTTGGATCTTATTAATTAACCAAAGATATACAACTTTGGACTATATAATTAGTTAAACATCAATCAAGAATGTCCATTGACATTCCAAGAATTGAATTCTTGTTATACGTTGGATAAATATACCTTTTCAACTAATATGAATAATGTTAAATTGAAGTGACATACATTACCAAAAAAAAAATTATACATATATATGACATTTTGTGGGGTCTTTTGACAATTGACATAGATAGATAGTCCCACTGTAATTTAACAAAAAGTTTGTATTGACTTTTCGTGTAAAGTGGGATACTACAAAATAATTTGCACGAAAAATGATGCCAAGAGGTAAGATGATATATAATATATGGTTTATATGTCAAATCTTCGTCCAGAGCCAGAGGTTCATATAAAAGAAGTGATGTATTTTTTTGCGCTTCATTTGTGTATATTGTTGCGCTTCATCTGCATGGGACGCACATGTTTTCTCCCTTGAGTATATTATTTGTTGCACTTCAACTGTGTGGTACGCACCCGTAATGAGAAAAGATGATTCGCACTCGTTCATCTGCTTGGGACACTCCCTGTTCTTTACCTCAACTGCGTATCACTTGTTGCGCTTCATCTGTGTGGGACGTACCCATAATGAGAAAAGATGATTCGCACCCGTTCATCTGCTTATATCTTGGTGCGCTCCATTTGCGTGGGACACACGCGTAATGAGAAAAAAATATTTTTATATCAAATCGTTACTTAGTTTGCTATTATGTTTTTTTTTTCGTGTTATCTATATTATTTGATTTTAATTTAATTAAAAGCTTTATTTTTTATTTTTGTGTCCGTGTTTTAAGTCGTGTAATATTCGTGTTATTTATCAACGTAACCGTATTATCTAATCGTATTGGATGGTATTTTATACTTTCTAATAAGATGTGTATAAATCTAATTATGTTTTCAGAGATAATAAACGTAAAAATGTTGTATTCATTTCTTTTAGCCCCGCGAAGAAATTATAAATAGGTCTAAAGCTTCTAATTATTTCAAGAAAATAAAAAAAAAAAAAATTGTTACGTTCATGTTTATTATTTATTAGCCCCTCCAAAAACAAACTCTCAATTCTCAATGAATTAATCTGTATAAACGTCCACCATGTGTAGCTTCAGTCCATAGTCAACGTGTCCTTAATTTGACCACAATTAAAAAATAGTTCACTGTCACCAGAATATAATAACAACATTCACACCATAATATCATTGAATTCTTTTGGCCTAACTTAGGTTTGAAATTATTCATGTGAATATGTACAAATATAAATAAAAAATTTATAAATTATATGTTTGTATGGAATATTTAAAAATAAGATAGACTATGAGTATATTACATTTTATAAATTTTATTATTAGTAAAAATAAACTATGTAACTTACATATTAATCTTTTTGTTGATTACAATAATATAATTTTTGCAATCTTGGCTGATTATGAACAATTAATTAGATAATAATATTAAAGATGTTAAACGGGCTAGTCCTGACTGTTTCGGGCTAGCCTTAGCTAGCTTCGGGCTAAATGGTCCGAGCATAAATACTTCAGATTTAAATGGCTACCAATAAAGGGATTTAACCTTAACCCTCTTAGGCTAAACGGGTAATAATAATAATAATAATAATAATAATAATAATAATAATAATAATAATAATAATAATAATAATAATAATAATAATAACAATAACAATATAAAAAATAATAAATATACAAAAAAATTGGAACGACTAGTTAACGATTGTTCTCGGCATCTATTAAGGTTATGTTTGGTAAAACTAGCTGATAAGCTAGCTTTTAGCTTATCAGTATTCTCGAGCTTATAGCTTATAGCTGAAAAGCTAGATTATATAATAAAAGTGTTTGGTAAAATTAGCTGATAAGTTAGATGGAATAAAAAATTCAACTAGCTTATTTGAAAAATTACTTAAAGAAACTTATCAAATTAATTCGAGCTTTCTAAAATAGCTCGTCCTACCAAACAAGGCTTATTTGAATACATGAAGCTTATAAGCTAGCTTATTTGTCTACCAAACATAGCCTAAGTATTTACCGCTCTATATATACAACTACACTTTATATGTGAACACACGTTACAAACTATTAATGACATATTTTTTCTCAAAAGAAAGAAGATGTTCGAACTATTACTTATAATTACCATCTTACTACTTATTTGTATGCTTTGGAAATTCTTACGATATTGTATCATACTTCTAAATTTATATTCTAGCACTATGTTCTATGCGTTAGGTCTTTGTCTCTTGAGTGTCAGCTGTTTTGATTGGCTTAAATATTTTGGTGTGAAATAGAATAACAAAATTGTTCTAATTATCTTTCAAAGCATAATAACACGTTACAACTCATACTTACATATGATGTAGAATAAAAAATTGTAATATACATAGAATCTTGGGTCATATTCCTTACCTACTGCATAAATTTACACCGTCAAACTCAAGTTAAATAGGCTAGCCCTAGCGAGCTTCGGGCTAAACAGTTCGGGCCTAAAAAGCCCTGATTTAAACGGACTACAAATAAAATCCCTAACCCTGATTTTTTCGGACAAAGATCGTTTAACATCTCTAAAAATAATATTAAAATTATTATCATATCACTTATATATGAAATTTAAGGGGTTTAGTTGCGTCATAAAGAATAATTAACTAATTTAACGTAATTTATGTAGTTTCATTTTCTTATTCATGTAATTTTACTAAAAAGATATTTATTATTTTTATTATTATAAATGATATGAGATATCATATACAAAGGATAAACCGGTCCAGCGAGCGGGTCGAACGAATTAAACAAGCCGCTTTGGTCGAACATAGTCCGAACATGATGGTTGTGGTCGAGCACCATGAGAACGAGAGCCTTCGGGTTAGAAGGCAGTGTACATGGAACTCTGGCACACGTACAACAGGTCGATCCCAGATCCATGAAGGATCTGGTCGAAGATCGACCTGTCGCCAAATGGTCGTCTGATCGACCATTTCACAGACTTAGAGCAGTCAACGGATTGACTTAGAGGTGGTCGAGCATAAGAGCATTTGAGGAGATCTCAGTTGAATCAAACCCTCCCAGTGAGGACAAGTGGCACGACTTGATTGGTCCCTTGCGTATAACCGTCTCTGACACACCCTTAGTGTGTGTTGTACGAACGGGCAGGCCGAGCATTTTTGGGCAGCCAGCTCAGCTTGTCCGGGCAGTCATATAGAAATAGGTACCTCACCCCTATATATAGGAGCGAGCTTTACGATTTCAGCACGATTTATCCATTATACTCTTGAGAATTGGAACTTAGGACTGACTTAAGCATCAAATGTTTTTCACCGAAAACCCATCAGGTGTGAGAATTTTTGCAGATACTCGGCGTTCTATCGGTGAGAAGGAAGAGGGCGAACCGATTTCCAGACGGTTGGAGTGTTCGATGTACGTTACCATTATATTTTAGTTAAATTTTTTATTTCGTGCATTTCGTGTGTCTAATTTAAATTACGCCGTGTCTTATTAATCTAATGTTTAATACCTATAATAATCATATATTTTGGAAAATGCTACAATCTCTTTATGAAATCATCACGTTAGGATTTGTAACTGTTCGATGCACATATATATTTAATTTACATGTGCATCTAACGGTCACAAATCTCAATCGAATGATTCCGTAACAGATTGCCTTACCCTCATATTTTTTTAAGTGTGTTTCGTAAAATGTTATATCTGTCAATTGTCAATCCATCCCACAAAAACAACACACGCATAAACAAAATACAGACGCACACAAACACATATATCTAAGTGCACAAACAACAAATAAACAGACCAAAAACACAGGCACACACAGCCAAACAAAAAATAAAAAGAAAGAAAAACCAGTAACTGCCATTTTTCACCCACCGCTTCGGCTGAGCGCCACCGCCCCTTCCGCCGGAGCCACCCGAAAAAAATGAGAGCTCTATCAAAACCACTATCCAGCCCGGGCCGGGCCGAGAAGTTTCCCCCGCCATTGATGAGGTTCCTGCGGACCAACCCCGGCAGCCGCAGCCGAGGAAGGTCCCGCTCGAGCCCCATCTTCCACCTCCGCAGCAGGCGACGCCCCCCCGGCGGCGCAATTGAGGCCGCCCAGGAGCCGTCATCCCCGAAGGTCACCTGCATCGGCCAGGTCCGCGTCCGCCGCAGGAAGACCGGAGCCACCCCCGCCGTCGACCTCCGTCTCCGCCGCCGCCACTGGCTTTCCTGCGGGAAAATTTCCTGCGCATTCCCGAGGAAGCTCCTCGGTAGGTTTTTCCGCTCGATGTTTAGGTCTAATTGCTGTGGAGAGGGCGATTTTAGGGTTTATTCAGATCGGAAATTTGGGGGAAATGAAAATTGCTCTGTTGCCGGCAATAGTAACAACAACAACAACAACAACAACGACGGTCATAACAGGGCAAGGATTAGCATTAGCAGCGGCGACGGCGAGACCGATTTTTACAGGCGCGGCGGCTCGAAGTTCAAAGAAATTGAGGACGATGGGTTTCACTTCCAGTCGAGCAAAAGGGAGCTTCTAGAATCTTCTCCTCCGTCGTCTCGGTCACCTCCGAGAAACGCTCTGCTCCTGACGAGGTGCAGATCTGCGCCTTACAGGTCATCGTCGCTGGGCGGCAGATTTTGGGCGGAAGAGAAAGGGGAAATTATCAGTAAGTTGAGTGAAGAAAATTCCGCCATTGACGAGCCGAATGAAGAAAACAGTGAAGAAATTGGGAAAAGGGTTGAAGATGATTTGAAGAATGGGGGTAATTGTAAAGAAGTTTCAGGTCCGCCATTGTTGCTCACAAGGTGCAAATCAGAGCCAGCATGGAGAGGAGAAAAGCTTGGTGTTGTTGTTGATGATAAAGATAATGATGATGATGATACAGTGAAAAAAGGTTAGGTGTTTGAAGCATGAAACATTATTGATGATTAATTTTAGTTATAAGATTCATTTACTTTCTAAAGTAGATTATTATTATTATTTTTTTTTTTTCTATTTTGGTTTGTAGCTATTTTTTTTTTTCCTCAAAGGAAATCATATAAAGCAAAAAAATTAAAATATATGTTACATATGTTACATTTTTTGTTGTCTTTATTTTGATTTGTTGTGTAATTTGGGGTTGATGACTTGATCATGACAAAGATACTATAATTAGTGGCTTTCAAAATGTTGTTGACAATAAAGGCCTATTTGCTAAACTTTTGGGATTAAAGTTTTGGTGATTTTGTCGTGCAATTTTGCTATGAAGCCAATATGTAGTTTCTTCATGGTGGAGTCTAATTTTCTATATACAACAAGTAAATCATATCATATTAATAAAATTATTATTATTTATTTAAGTAATTAGAGAATCCTCTTTATATATATAATTTTCGAATGTGCTGAGCCTAAGTGGCATGCTCGCATGCTCCGGAATCATAGGTGTCAAACTTCTATGTTTTGTTATTTTATTTGGCTTGGATAGATTTTAATTTAATTCCAATCCAAAACTAATTAGGTTCGTATTGCCATAAATATGTTGATTTATTTATGATTAATTTAGATGTATCAATTGTATTTTAATATCATTTCCTATTATAACTATTGAATTGTAAATGTATTTTAAAAGTTGATAACTTTTGTATTTTTTATTGGTTTTACTAATATAATGTATCAAATTAATCATCTTTTGATAAGCTTCGATTTGACGTCCATATTGTATATATAAAATAAATAATTATATTTATCTTTACAATAATAAAAAAATATTTATTAAAATTAATTAACAAAAATATTTCTCAATTAATATATTAATGTTTAATGTAGTTATATGTTATAAGTTAGAAAAATTATTATAATATTACACATGTAAGTCTCACAAGTAAAAAATATCATACTAAAATATATATAT